AATAAATTCCTAAGTTTCTAAAAAGCTCAGCTTTTAATGCATTTGCAGCCACTGACTAGATTTGTAGTGGTTCTTAGCAGCTGAAGTCAGATTAGTAAGATCTGCTCTAGTAAAAAAAGCCGAAGAATAAGAAGCGGCTAATTTAAGAGGCAGAAGTTCTTTGATCATTCTGAACCGTTTGAGAGGCATGGACAGCAAATAAATAATGCACATGTTGACTTTTTGTGAGATTCCCGAATTGGCTCCAATTAGGTTTTGGTGCCAATCGTGACACCTCCCTCTTGATGTTTTACACAACTCCATCATTTCCTCCCAGACAACTATGGTTTCAGTCAGCGATAAGCTTTTTCATCTGCAAATCCTCGATGCGGCCGAATCGTATGGCGACAGTATTGCTCTGGTTCGCTTTTCAGAATTTTATAAAAGCATTCATTCTGAACACCTCCCGAGAGGCCACATCCCTGGGAAACGAGAGAAGGAAAAGGGGAAAACTCCCCTTGTCTTTTTTGGGAAGTAGGGACAAAATCGCTGTTCCTCCAAAAAAAACTAATAGTATTTTTGCACCCTTGTTGCAGTGTTCCCTTTTATCGTTAGAATTCTTTTATTGCCAGAAAACTAGTTGAATGACTAAAAAGCATTTTCCAATGATTTTTCCCAAAAATTTACTAAAATATGCGTCTTAAAAAACTTTCTGCTTCCTTACTCTACCGAATTCATACTTCACCATAGTTCGCTGGGGGCAATTCTGCGGTCAAGATTCGCCTGCACCACGAGTTGTGTGGTAAAATTCTGGGCAAAGCAAAAGTTTACCAATATTGGTTTTGCGCTTATCAAATCTTGTGAATTGTTCTTGAATCTCCGTAACCGCTGCTCCAAAATGGCGCCAAGTGCCTCGTCCAATAGCGTTAACGTCGAGATGGCTGTTGGTTTATAACGCTTGAGGTTGTCACAGAGAGACAAAGTCGGCTGGTAGCGTTGGAAGGCCGTTGTCGATCATAAGAATGATGCAGTCTTTTACCAATTGCTGTTGCCAAGTGAAACCACAATATCGTCGGAAATAGCACAGCACAGAGGGAAGATAACGGGATGCAAAGAAGAAACACGTAACAGCGAATGATTTGAAGGGGCTCACCCTTCACCTTCACAGTCTGCATTTTTAAAATACAGTATGCGAGGCCGAACAAAAAATGCGATAAGAAGCATTTACTTTTCATCACATGTTCCTTCTCACTGTGATGGATACCGTACTAACAAAATCGCCTAAATAATTAATCTGGATATCTCACATAAGTGGTGTTACTGGGATGCTCTTATACATCGGGTGTAGCTATTCCGTGCGGTTCGATCCTAGCTAGCATTTGCTAATTAAAAATTGTTGGATGGGGGCTACCTTTTGAAGGGCTGTCCAAACGATAATTTGTTTCTTTGCGGATGCCACCCATTTACTACTGCAACAAAGTACACCGGTTGTTGTCAAGACAAGCGACATGAATTTCCTATCAAAATTTTCTCCTTTTGTGGTTGGAGTACTACGAAGTGATGGTTAAATCGTGAACAATTGCTTGAATTTTGGTCCAGAAATTCGTTCCCTGTACAGAGTTTCAGTTTGCTCAGTGCAGAAATGTTGCACTCAGCAGCATTCTTTTTTTTCTTTGCACAATCTCCTGTAAAATTTAGTTTTGGAAATGTAGATCAAAGGATGTGTAGATTAAAGGAGAGTGCATCCAGACGGGAATAAACTTTTCAGGATCTTTTTATGTTATTATAGGCTTCTCAGTTGTAGTGATATATATGCTGACTGATTCTGCACACGAAATTCTACATGCTGATGACTATGATTATTTTCTGAAAACGTTGAAAATAGACGCAATTGAAAAGTTTATAGACGGATGCGCATAACGGTGAGAACCTGACCTTCCATCAGCTTCGCAGGAAAT